AAAATCAACTAATTTCTTGCCCCATCTGGCAACACTGTAAAATGCAATGTTGCAAAATTTCACCAATAAATAAATCATTTATTTACATGCACCACGCGGCAACGCTGCTGCGCCATCTTGAAAAATACACCATTGCATAACCCGAAAAATGAAGGGGCATTCATACACGATTGCATAACCCGCATATTGAAGGGGCAACATGCAATACTTTCTTTTTACAGCGTTGCCATATTGAACAATAATCCCTATACAACGCTGTAATTTAATTCATATTTTTCTGCACAATCATGCAACGCTGTTGGATAATTTACTGTGCTCAAGTCGCCATTTTCACCCTACTATGGGCAACCTCTCAAAAAGTCGCGAGATTTCGAAATCTAATCAGTGTTGCTCTCGAGATGCAGGATGCAGCTAAGTTGGCAGCGTACACGAATAGACTGATTTTCGGAGCAACTTAGAGGAAGCAATTCAAAGGAAGCAATTCAGTCCTGAAAACATTTTGTTTCCTGTTTTTTTCCACGGTTTTCCTTTGCTCTTCGATAAAGGTGGCTGATGTAGGGGTAACGGGAGGGACGAACATAATTCTGCAGTGGTAAGGAAGAACGCCGTATGAGTCTTCAGACGTTGCCAAATTTCCCCTGGAAAACCACTGAATTTCAGGAAAATTTTTGAATGATTGTCTACCAATTTCTTGGATAATTTTGTTTTTAATTTGATCTAAAACGTCTGAAAATTTCATGGGGAAAATATTCATAATTTTCCTCAAAAATAAACATTTTATCGAAGAAAATTTGGCAACTCTCGAATGTTCATATGTCGTTCTTCCGTAGCAGGGCAGAATTGCAAACACTGCGCTTTAAAAAAGAGACCATTTTCGGCTTTTTTCAAAATATTCGGACATAACTCCAATGAAAATACAATGAGAGCATTAGCGCGAGGTTGGATGTCGCTCCCTGGTCGGAAAATCATGTTTTGACTCGTCTGCCGACAAAATCTCGTCAAAGCGTTCAAGAATAGCTGGGCCTGGACATGAGTCAGGAGTCAGGAGACCAGGCGACAGCAATAGATCTCAATTCGTCATCCTTTTTTCCCTTCCTGCTCGGCCTAGTGGAGCTCCAAAAAAATTGATGAATTTCTCTCATCGGGTTCGATTTCAACTTCCTCAGTAATTTTACGCTCTGCTAAAAAAGTATATTACAATGAACTTAATTTCGTTGTGATATGTTGATAAGTAACGGAAATATTGTTCAGCAAGTTATAAATGCAGCAGTTGTGGTATCGATCTTAGTGTACCGTAGAATCATGTATTTTCATTATTTTGACCACCATTCCTCAAAATTTCACCGCGAATCGAAAAATGTACACTGTAAAAACAATTTCCAAATGATAGAAAAAATTGCATTTTTACTGTCTTTAAATTTTGAGGGTCAGATTTTGTTTGGCATATGAGACAATTGGGCTGCGATCCCGTAGCGGGCAGCCTCGGTCTCGAGGGTTGTTAGACAAAAAGGACGGGAAAACCCATGTCATCGCGCCGCTTCGACAGTTTTATGGAACCACGTAGCTGGGGCGGCTTCCTTTTATTCAGACAGAGCAGTGCTGAGACAGAGTCCGAGTTTGACCTTCGGCGTTGGGTGAAGGCTGTGTAGTAGTATTATGGAGAGGGGTCTATTTGCATCTCTCAGCGGTTTACACAGATGTGGCTGAAAAATGGGAAATTCTCATAGTTTTGCGAGCATCTAGGAGCTAGAAGCTTTCAATCGACCCAAAAATCGTAAAAATCGCCCCGGTAGATCTCTCAAAATAAGCGTTACAACAGGAACATACACCAATTCCCAAGAACTTAAGGCCGGAGGGGGGTAGATTTGGCTTAAAGAGCGTCTCAGGAAGAGGAGTCTGAAAAAATTGGAAGTCTGACAGTTTTGCGGACATCGGGACGTCAAGGGCTTTCACCAGAGTCAAGCATCGTCGAAATCGGTCCGGTAGAACTCCAGAAATAAGCGTTACAGTGAAACCCCCAACGATTTTATTTATATAGATTTAACATATTTTATTTATTTATTAAAATACATTTTATTCTACTTATTAATTATTATTTTAATCTACTTTTATTTGATTTATTCATTTATTTTAGTCTATTTTTATTTTATTTTATTCATTCATTTATTTTAATCTATTTTATTTTTCTACTTAGGTTAATCTATATATTTTTTATTTTTAATTTACTTTATTTTATTTTATTTGATTTATGTTAATTTATATGATATATTTATTCTTTTTTTATTTTATTCAATTTCATTCATTTATATTTCTTCGTTTTAATAACTATACATACTTTTTTTTATTTGATTCATGTGTTAGCACTGTGTTATTCACTTCTTTCTTCCCAAAAATTGATCTACTTTTTTTGCCATTTTTGTTTCTTTGAAACTGCGTAATGTAGAAATTGCCAAGAGTATTGTTGCTTTCCATCATGGAATCGGCGCGGCGCTGGGGACGTTTAGGCTTGCTAAATTATCCTCAATTAGCACGCGAGCCTCCGGAGCTCCACGGCAGCGGCACTCGAGCAATCACGGGGGTTAAGTAACGTCGGGCGTAGCTACTTAGATGGGAGACCGCTTGGGAATGACCGCGGTGCCGGAGATTTGCAAAGTTCCTAAGAATTTCTTTCATGTCTGAAACATGCCACGGCAATAGTGCGAATCACATTCCATGTTTAATCCTAAATCTTTTTTTTTTTATAGCTCTGCTAGTAGAGACGGCATTTTGGGCACGGATTAGGGAGCTTCCCATGGGAGCCACTTTTCATGAGAGCCACTTCTCATGGGACCCACTTCTCACCGGAATTATTCCCCTGCCCAAAACAGCCTGAGTGAAATTCCCATGAGAAATTTTTAGCAGGGGAACACCCCCATCCCCGGTCATCTAAGGAAAGGAGCCTCTAGGCAGGCGTCTTTCAGACAACCTCCCTGCCCTGGTCCCTCAAAATAGATATCCTATGCTGCGACAAGTCACAACCACCTCCCCCCCCCCCCCCCCCAGTGGGAGTGAAGCTATACCACCAACCGGCTATCCAAACGAAAAACAGCCCTCTTACCCAGGAGCATTGTTTGCCCCTGTGTGAGAGTTTGAACCAACCCAGCACACGCTGGTGTACAGTGGTCAAATAACAATAATAATTATGATACTTAACTATCCGGTTCTTAGTTGAGAGCCACTGTGTCAAAGCTGCTTACTAAGTATTGTATGCATCATCCTGAATCCGCTGTAGAAAGAATTTGTTTACCGCGTAAATTAGGTGGCCGGGGTCTGAAAGATATCACCCATCTGCACGATTCTCAAGCCGGTAAATTGAGGCAATTCTTCGCGAATAGGTCGGGAGCATCTTTGCTCCACGCGTCCGTGATAAATATTACTTAATTATTAATTACCGGTAATAATTGGGGTGACAGGCGCAATATCTAAAAGTGCGCTAAAGCTGTAGCAGAGATTCCGGGTAGGCATTGCATGAGCGCCCTTCAAAAAACTGTTCTTTTAAGGACAGCTCATATCGTCAGAAAGGTGATGGATTGAGTTACATGAGAAGTGAAGTACACTTTTGGTGACTAGGCCATGGGGGGGGGGGGGGGGGGGGGGGGGGTAAAACAAAAAAGTTACCGTCTTTAAGGCGTGGAAAAAGTTTAATAATAACAATAATATGCAATACTCCTACATTTTCAAAATTCATTTTTTTACAACGTTACCAGATTGTCTAATGCCCACCTTATAAATCCACAATTTATATCGCTTTTTTCTGCACAAATTCTATTTCTTTCACAACTTGATGAGTGAAAACTTTTGGGCTTCAATCGGCATTTTTACCCTAATTTCCTTTCATTCATTATTTTCATGGCAGCCTAATATTATCTAATTTCAGGACGGCCGAAAGAAGTAGAAATTACGAAGACGGATTCAGCCTTAGGTCTCACGATAACAGACAATGGTGCTGGCTACGCATTTATCAAAAGAATAAAAGAAGGCAGTATTATTGATAATATAGATTGTATTCAGGTAAGTCACTTTGTTATCATTTTCACCTTTCCTTAGTCAGGTCTGAATCGGGGCAACTGAATTAAATGCAGCTGGAGGCATGCACTGCTGCCGCCTCTCGCATTTCGTCATCTTCCGTCCAAAGTACCTATCACAAGCGTCATGCGACATTTCAGAATTTCCGCTGCCATTTTATTTTTTTACGGAGATATTGTTTGTTGAATCTGTTTGAAAATTTCTGTGACTTTTTTCGGCAGCATGAAGAAAATTCTAACTATTTAACATTTTCGAACAGCTTTGGTGAACAATATCTCTGTTAAAAAATAAAATGGCGGCGGAAATTTTTAAACGTCGCATGGCGCTTGTGATACTCAGGCTGGAAGGTGACGATTTCAGGTTAAAAAAGCTGAACGCATTCACAGCTCCTGAATGCAACTCGCACAACGTTCATTCTGTAATATTTGCATCAAGGCCGCATTATAAATGTCACATGTTACGCGGTGCAGTCCACAGGTAATGACTTTGAAAAAATCTTACCCCACTGTCTTGATGAGCACGCTCATAAGTTTGTGTATCGATGCCCCCGACCGCCCGACCTATCAATGTGCCTGTTGCGCCATTTTTTTTTTTTTTTTTTTTTTTTTTTTTTTTTTTTTTTTTTTTTTTAATCACTTCAATCGAAAGAGCTAAGGCTCTTGATGTCACAGGAATTTTCCCGGAGTTTTATGATTACCGGAAACCCCCAAAAAATAAACTTAAAAACGCCTAAAAATTCGGATTTTCAAAACGGTCGATCTTACGAGGGAACGGGATCTGGTACATTCGTTACGTTACATCTAATGACAAATCTGGCCTTTACATCACTTACTCGTACAATGTATTTTCCCAGAGGGAATTGGCAGCCGCTTTTCAAATGCAAATATCGAGTCAATCGATGATATTTTGATCGAAATGGAATTTAGAAATGGATTCGTTCGACGTTTAAATGATTAAAACCTTTATTTCATAAATAAGAACCGGCGGAATAAACCTTATTTGTAATGGAAATTGTAGTCGATGGGCCATTGTTCACATCTATCATAGTGATAACGGAAATGGAGGTTAACTCAAGCTCAATATTTAGCCATTTTCAAGAGTATATACTTGTTGCGGTCACTATTTGAGGGTAAGTCTTTTCTGTAAATCAATTGCTTAGTACATATTAATTTAGAACACACTCCGGCAGTCCAACGCTCTAACCTGGATGTAGCGAGCCAGTTGTTATTTCTTGATATTTCACCCTTCAAGGTTTCACTGTAGAGTCCCTTTATACCCAGAGTTAAGCCATCTCGATTATCAGCTGGCCTGGGGCCTGGGCTGGCCATGGTGTCACAAAAGTGTGCACCCAGACAAACGATATTGAGGGATAGGTAATGATAAAGAATCCAGCGATGTCTGTCATCCAAAAACAACAACATCACCAAAACTGATCAAAACCTAACCAAAGAAATTTCAATGAAATAAAATTCGGTTGATTAGTGGATAATTTCTTAATCTAATTTCATATTGGTGCGATGAAAATAAAAATTCACCCTTGATTAAACCACAATTTAGTTATATTTTCGTTACTTTTGCTCACATTTGAGGTACCGCCATCTTGGTGCTCTCATTTGTGACTCCATGAGCGAGAACCAGTCAGAATTGGATTTTTTTAAGTCACTTTCAGCCCAACCAAAAGTGAGATGTCGTAAATCTGGGTATAGAGGGACTCTATTTCACTGAAGACACCAAAATGATAGTATCAATCATCGATGATGAAAAAAACTTACCAGTGACAATACTAATGAGATGAGGAGACCGATATGATTAAGATGGAGGCAAGGGTGGGCGGTAGACGTAGGATACTCCTTCGATTACCAGACTTATCAATACATTTTTCTACTTCGTATTACATTAAAAATTAATATGTAACGATGTATACCTGGGTGAGTTCAAATAAGCGTCTAATCTGGTGTCGTCAGCTGTTTTCATCGTCATAATCTGATAAACTTGGGCGGATCAAGTTTTTTCTCATTTTCCACACTGTTGTTGACTATTACATGCTATTTCCAACTTTATTTGGACTGAAATAAAAATTTAGGAGAACTTTGAATGTGCAAATTGCCTACATTTGTCCCAAATTTGCGTATCCCCCTTGCCTGGTTCTTGACTTTAAATCGATGTTGCAGCATAACTAGAATGATTATTTAAAAACTAGCGGAAAGCCCGTGACTGAAGTTACGGGTCTGGATGCTTCACAGAAAATTATTAATTTAATAACGGGGAGCATTAAGCCGATGTTGTTTCGGGGATGATGTACCACTATTCGACCGCATGGGCGCTTGTTTTGCCTGAGTGAGCGTGCCATTTCACGACGATACCGCTATTCGACCACGCGGAAGCTCCTGTTGCCTACACTGAAATTGAAGGCAAAATTAAATGGCGTTAATTTCATCTTCTCCAGTTTAATGAAATGCTATTTTTTAAAAACGTTTTTGGAAAACGAATCAGGATGAACTTAGATTAGACGGGATAAATACAGTTGTATGCTTATCAATCCTTTTTCATCTGGAGAAAGGCGGAAATTTGGTATTACGGACTTTTACGGTGGGATGCGAATGAAACTCTGGGTCCTGTTGGTTTTTGGTTCCACAAAAAATGACTCCTCCGCATTGTATTTCTGAAATTTCAAATACTTTCAAAATGGCAGCATACGAATCCACACGTAAACGTCCGTAATACTAAGTTTCCACCATTTTCCTCGTCATTTTGAAGTTATTCAGAATTTCAAAAATCCAATGAAAGATTCGTCTTTCTCATGTCGAAATGCCTCCTGATACCAAGTCTCATGCAAATTCACCAATAAGCAGCCTAATATATTCTCTTGCCGCTCAAGGTTGCCATATTGACCCCCGCCATTTAGAAAAGGACAACATTTTTCCGGAAAAATAATGCCAGAATCGTTTTTCTTGTTCCAAAAAACCTCTGAAAACCAAGTTTCATCCCAATCCGACGACGGAAACGGAGATGTAAATTTCCCTTATTTTGAAAGAGCCGTATGCAAAAACGACATTTTTCGCCCCCCCCCCACTAAAACTTATTTAAACTTCGTCTGTCAGTTACTAATACTTGAGCGGTCGCTTAGCTCAAAAATGCACGATGATACGCGGTTTCCGGCTACCAACGTGATTTTGGTCTTAAAATGACCGTTAGACCCTCCTGATTCAGAAACCACCGGGAGCCACCCGCGCTCCCCCCATTCCCCCCCCCTTTTGGCCGCCATCTTGGAAAATGGCGGCCAAAATCGGGTTTTTTCAAAATATCTCGAGAACGGCGGCAGATATCAAAAAATTTTCTTAGTTAAAAAAGATTCAGCGTGAAAAAGCGGTATGAATGAAGTACTCACACGTGAATAATATGAGAGAAGGGAGGGGGGAGGCTCGCCGCGCCGCTGCGCGCTCCTCTGCTCCTCAGCTGTCTTGCGAAAAACTCGCTGTTCCGGCGGGCGCGCGTCATCACCCGAGGCGTTGCGCCCTCTGGTAATCAAGCAATTAATAACTGTACACTTGAATCTTCCCGCTTTTTTGCTTGCTGTGCTCTGGATAGGTTGGTAGATATAGACAAATTTGACAGAAAATAGGTAAGTTTAATTCAGAAACAAACTTTTGCTAAACAATTTGAATACAAGTGGGAGGAAAATAAGTGCCTTATCGATCTATTTCTTTTTAATGGAAACCTAATTTGAAATTTGGTTCATTTTAGACTTTAGCGGTATCATTGGATGTAGGGTTCTAAGCGGCTCAGATTCAAATGACTTGGAAACTTGTGTAAACCTGTGCACCGCTAACGTAATTGATGGAGCTGTGTTGGTGCATACCTTAAATAAATCAAATGCTAAAACATTCTCCGAATTCTCCATAAAATTTTTTCAGTCAGCAATTAAGCGCAAACTGCAGAGCTTTGACAGGGTTGATATTGTTTTCGACAGATATCCGCCTTTTATAGCTTAAAATCAGACACAAGAGAGAAAAGAGGGTCCGGAAGAGAAATTCTCGTAAAAGGTTCAACGCCTATACCGAAAAATTTTGGCCATTTCTTGCAAGTTGATCGTAACAAGACTCAGTTATTTCAATTACTCGCACAAAACATCAAATCTATGGAGACAATGGGTAAGATCGTCATTTGCACTGATGACATATATCGATCGTTTCAGCTGGAAATTTGGTTTCAAGCGCCTATATTTCACCGTGTTTCCACGAGGAGGCAGATACTAGACTTTTCATTCATATTAAGAATGCTGTTCGATCTGGTTATAAGTTTGTACTGCTCAGTACTGTGGATTCTGATGTCATCGTGATTGCAACTTCTATGTTCCAAACTTTGAAAGAATTCGGTTTGCAGGACCTGTTCGTAGAATATGGAGTTGGTAAAAATAGGAGTTTAATCCAAATTTCTAAATTAACATCGAAAATCTCGCCGGATATGCGCAACGCACTGACATTCTTCCATGCGTTTACAGGTTGTGACTCCGTATCGTCTTTCTACGGCGAAGGCAAGACGAAGGCGTGGAGTATCTGGAATAAATTGGAGAATGATTTAACTGGAACATTTTTGAGGCTTTCATCGTGTAACGAAATTTCTAATAATGATTTTGAAAAAATTCAGCTCTTCACTATTTTTATTTATGACTCGTCCAGCCAGGCAAAATCCGTCAATGAATGCGGGAGAGTCTTGTACACTCAAAAAAATCGATCGGTTGAGACATTCCTCCCACTGAGGAAGCATTGCGCCAGCATTTGCGGAGAGCAATGCTCCATACTCACATTTGGAAGCATTGCTTGGAGCTGAATCCAGTTGTTCCCGATGTGAAATCTTGGGGTTGGACAAGTAGAACTGAGACCACTAAGGGACTTGCCATCGTGCCATTGTGGACCACCCTATCAGAGGCTTCGAAAGAGTGCTACGAGCTAATATCTTGTGGATGTAAAACAATGTGTATAAAA